ATATCTATAGTGTTGGGATGTTAATGTGGGAAATATTTGCAGGTCATCCACCATTTGATGATAGAGCTCACAATCATTGTTTAATTTTTGATATATGTGAAGGTTTGCGACCACCAATATTGTCTGAATACTATGTGCAAATGATGCAGAGGTGTTGGGATGTGAATCCATCAAAAAGACCAACTAGTAAAGAGCTTTATGATTTTTCTGAAAACAAACTTCAAGAAATTATTAAGAATAATGATAGTAATAATGCTATCAGTAGTGGTAGTGGTGCTTTGCAACAAGCACACAAATCACATCCAGATGCATATCATAAATGTAGAATCTTAGATGAAGAGATTGCTAAATCTAAAAGCTTAAAAATTTATACAAGTAATAGTTCATTAAATAATCTTGATTGTAACTCTTTTCTCTAAATGTTAACCAAGGTGAATAAAATTTTCATTATTAATTAATTGGAAATCACTACCCATTACTAACAATATTTTTTAATTAATAAATATTAGACTCTAGTAATAATAGTAAGAAAGAATTGATGAATGATTAATTTAAATTTAATCTCCACTATAAATTTATTCATTATAATTATTTATCTTTTTCTTTTTAATCTCTTATAATAATATTGAAATAATAAACTTTTGGTTCTTGTTAAACGGTGGCACTGCAAGGTATCATTTCAGTTAATTAATAATTATGGCCTAACTTTGGGCAACTCTTGTCAGTTAAATTGTTTTGCAAATAAACCAAAATGTAGTGGTCGTATCCGCCAAATGATATTCACCAATTATTCACCAATTATTCACCAATTATTCACCAATTATTCACCAATTATCCAGATAATCAACAGATACAACCACTAGTTTTATTCATTTAATTCATTTAATTCATTTTATTTGTTTTTATTCAAATTACTATTATTCATTTTATTTAAATTATTTTTTACTCAAATTGTTTATTTTATTCAAGTAAACCTTAATTGAATAGAAACCTAACTACTGCTCAAGATTATGATATTATTTTAACACAAAAAGTTTAGCCAATAATTTAATTACAATATAAAAGAGTTATTGGTTTATTAAACTAAGCCAATAATTAACTAAAAAAGAATTAATTTTAAAAGGATATCTAATAAATATTGGCACTTTCAACATTTACTAGTAGACTTTTAGACTATATGATAAAAATACCAAGAATATTATTAACTTATCAGTATGCTAATACCAAAATTATTTTTTTAAAGAATAATCAGATTATGATATTTGCTGAATACCCCATTACCCAATTTGGCATCATTCAACCAGTAAAAAGAGAACCAATAGATTATATATAAGCAAAGAAAGATGGGACCCTAAATTAGCACAAAAGAATTTTAAATCGTGCACAAACATGACAGCTTGATTGACACAATGGTACAGTCTTGCACTCTTGGAATTTTTTTATTGTATAATTAATTTACATATACCTTTAATAAAACAAACAAGACTTAGCTATTTAATCATTTCCTTGTATGTGAATGCCTTCCATCCAACAAATATTCGTGATTATTATTCAATATGTTTGATATCATCATTGACATAACAAACAATTGCATCACACAGGTAGTAATAATACCAAGGCCATGCAAAAATGAAACTCTTAATAATATATGCCTACCCAGATCTCTGGAGTGCTCAAGAATAAATAAATAAATAGGGAGGATCAAAAAAAAAAAAAAAAATTCCCTTCCCATTGTATAGTTCCTTAAAATGAATAATAAATCTGATATTGATCACAGGTGTCAGATTTAATTGAAATTTCCTGTCACCAACATGGAATAAGGTGTTCTCACACCTCCTCATAACCATGGAATTTTTCCACAGGTGAGGTAATCCAAACATGTTGGAAGGCTTTGGACAAAACTTTTCTTATCTTCCCTCAGACCAGGCTTGGTTGTTTCTGTATGAGCATTAATCACTGATGCAGATCAGCATTTGTGTGATGATTGCTGTGTGTTATTCCTCTCTAAAATAAAGTTGGTGTCTGCAACCTGGCATGAAATTCTGCAACTTGGGAGGTTGCAACCTGGGAAGTTGCTGTTTTGGATTTTCCCTGAATTCAGAGTTATAAGTCCTGGTTTGCTGTCTTGTTAGTGGCATGCCTGCTCACTAACAACCCTACCCATGTTTAAACAACAAATTCAGTTGGTCAAATAAAAATTAGAGAAATAGAAAATTTATGAATCAATTTATGCATAACATACCAAACAAAATCTGATCCATTTTATTTTACAGCTTTTTCCTTGGTACTAGTGATCATGGTGATTATCACAATAGGAGTGGACAGGGTTGAGCTGCCACCTTGATACTTGTGAGATACATGCTCTCATTGAGCTACACTCCTTTATTAAGCTAGGATGGGTTATATGGGCAAAAGTTCCCACTTTAAAAAACAACAAATTCAGTTGGTCAAATAAAAATTAAAGAGAAACAGAAATTTTGGGAAAATGATTAATTTATACAAAACATACCAAAATCCAAACCATTTTATGACTTTTTCTCATTGGCCACATAGATGTATATAATCATGCAATAATTTTAACCTACGGGACAGAGGACTGATTGGGCAAAAACCCATATAATTCCCTACCCAAAATTATAAATTGGTTAGTATCAGAGAATGGAGAATTTAGGAAAATGATTATACAAAACAAACACTATTTTACAACTTTCCTCTTAACATCAGAGCCCAAATGCAATTTCAGGACCACCAACCCTGCTCTGAATTGCATACTGTGCTTGAAACGAGCTGCAGATTCTCTTAATATTCCTCCAGAGTTGCGATAGCTTGGCCACAGTGCCACCCTTACCCTAGAGGCGGGATCATTGCAGGCAACTTTTCGGCTAGCGTGCCAGCAGCCTTCTCTGGTCTGGGAAGATTAGTGAAAGCGTCATTGACGATTGATGCAGTCTCGGTAAACTCCAGAGCCACGTACCCCCCTGGAATTCGGTTGCATCGTTGTATCTCAGGGCAAGCTAGTCAGATTAGCCTTATGTACTCAAGGAACGAGTGAATGACTGTAATGTGTTCAAGGTAGCGTGCGTGCTTCAACACCTGCCAATTTCCGATAATCAAATGTTGCATATTTGAAATGTTTCTTTTTAAATGGTGTGCTGCCTTGACACCTTGTAATAATAATATAATAATATTATTAATATTAATATTGATTACGAAAAGCAAAATATTATCAATGAAAATCTTGTAATTACCCAACAATGATCTGCTCCGCGTTTTGATTTCCAATTAAAATGTTTATAAACCAAAAAAGATACTACATTATATCAATACAAGTAAAAAAAATAGTACCTCTGATTAGTTATTAACACATTTTCTTTAGGAGACCCAAAACCAAACCAAACAACAACACTCACGTTTTGTCACCTTGGGCTCTGTCAAAAAATAAATTGTTTTTTGTTTTTCCAAAAAAAAAAAACCAATCAATCAATTCGCGTCTGTCCTACCAGAAAAAAAAAACCAATAGGATAAATAGTTAGTGTGTACGCGTCGATCAAATAACAAACTTATTTTTTAAAAAATCATGCCACGTAATAACAAAGAAACTGAAAAAAAAAGAAGCAAAGACCATAATCGCGATGAATACTTTGGGTAAGTGTTTTAAGGATGGTGGTGGTGGTTATCGCCCGCCACCTGTCGTTACTCTAGTTTATTTAAAAAAAAGGAACGGTAGTAGCAATCATTGTTATTTAAACTTTTGACCTATATATAACTTTATCCTTTTTTGTTTACTTGGTGTTAGTGCGAATGGAAAGAACAAAGAAAATGATGACGTAAAAGTATATATTCCAATTATTAATATTTAGTGCAAACATTATTAAATATAAAAATAAAACATTTTTTTTACGCACAATTATTCTCCACAACAATTCTTTTAGGAACGGAGGATAAAAGAACTAGAAAAAGAAGTTGCCATCTTAAAGCGAAAATCAAGACTAAAGGATATAGGTGATGAACAAATCATGTAAATAAAAAAATAAAAAATACTTTCACTCATTTCATTTATATATTTACAAATTATTTAGAGAACACTTATAAGGATAATGTTTGTAAAGACTTAACGTTGCCTAACCAAACACAATTATCGATCGATACTGATAATAAGAGATGGAGACGTATTTTAAGAGACGCAACGATTTTATCTTGTGATGAATTTTGGTTTGAAAAACCAAAAAACATCACAGTACCTGATAATTTATTTATGATCAAAAAACATTTTGATGGCGAATTGAGGTTACAAGATTATTTTGAAGAGCAGTTGTCTATTCTCAATCCGCAAATGAAGTTTGTTAAATTTGAACGTACCAAAAATAATCATTATTTACGAGGGTACGCGCCAGATATATCATTCGCACGAAAAGGTCTAAAGGTGAACTCCAATAACGTTCTATTCATTATAGAATTAAAAAAAACTGGCGGAAATTTACTAAGTGGTGACCTACTCCAGGTGTACAACTATGGATGTTGTATATTGGATGAGCAAAAATCAAGAGATCACGCGACGTTTGCAATAAGTAATGGTTTATATATAAATTTTTTTCGTATATATAGAGACAAAAAATTAGACGCAATCGAAAATTTAATTTTACACGACGATTATGGTGCTCATCCAGGATTAGAACTTTTAATAAGTGTGATTTCGTCACCAGTGTGTAAATATTAAAAGAATATGATGATAAATTTAAAAATATTGTTATAAAAGCACAAAAACTTAATGATGGAATGGAAGAAGAATTATCATCAACAATTGATGAATATGGTCTTTCTGCAATTATTGAATTTGATTGTTGTAAAATATTAAATAATGATGATTTAATTATATATACAGATTATTTTATACACATTTTATCAGTTAACAACAAAAATTCTAAAATATTTACAAAGTTCATAATCCTGAGGAATGATATTGAGAATATAATATTTTATTTAATAAATTACATATATCGTTATATATCGCATAAAAATAAATTATTCATAAAAGTTAACGGATACATTTTTACATTTTACTATCTTTAATTTTAATCCCTGAAATTCTGATAATACTGATGTTCACTTTGTCTGGTTTTGTTGCAGCATACCCCATATAAAAGAAAATTCAGTTAAAGTTTTACAATTAATTTATGCCAATGAAAAATTTAAAGAATTTAAAAAAATCTATTTAGAAAAATTTTGTGAATATAGTGAAAAACTATTTGAGTCAAATGAATTTAAATCATTGAAAAAACCAATTCTATTAGAAATTCTCAAAAGAGATGATTTTTCAGTTAAAGAGATGGTTATTTGGGAAAACATTCTTAAGTGGGGATTAGAAAAACATCCAGAAATCAACAATATCAATGTTGAAGATTGGTCATCACAAAATTTTGTTGATTTGGGTAACACATTAAAAGAGTTTTTTTCTCTAATAAGATTTCAGGATATCTCTAAAAAGGATTTTGTTGATAATATTGAACCATATCATATGCTACTTCCTAGAACTTTATGGAAAGCCCTTTTACAATATCATATGTTTCCTGATAGTCAACAAACTTTGAATTTATTACCATCAAGAATTTTAAAATTGAATTCAACACTTGAATCATTGACAATCAACCAAAATCTTACATTGCTTTTTGCAAGTTGGATTGATAGAAAAAGCCCACCATATATCTCATTCAAAGAAGTCAAATATGAATTTAAACTTCTATATCATAGCACTAGAGAAGGTTTTGATGGAGAAATATTTCATCAAAATTGTGGTAATATCAACAAAACTCTTGTAGTTGGCAAAATACGAAATTCAGAGCAAATAGTTGGTGGATATAACCCACTTAGTTGGAATGGAACTGGTGTATATAAAAATACAACTGAAAGCTTTATTTTTAATATTAGTGATAGAAATGATATTAGCACTGCACAATTTTAGTTATGTTGTCAAAAGTAAATATGCAATTTATTGTAAAACTAATTTTCTTGGTTTTGGTAGTGGCTGTGATCTTTATTTTAATGCATATGGTAGAGTTGGTGGTAAAAATGTTGCTTATAATAACATCAAGATAGTAGACAATGATGAATTTGATGAATTCGAAGTTTTTCAAATAATTTAATGTTATTATTTTTATTTTATTCTGTTATCATCTACCAATGTATTATTTAATAATATTAAATAAAAATATATATTGTTGGCTTAAATCTTTACTAGTTGTTATGTATAAATTCGACTATAACGTTGTGCTCACATAGCTGTAAACTCGAGTTTTATCTTGATTGCTTGAAAGCGGACATGGATGTCGTGGCCGAATGTAGAAATATTGAGTTCCTTGCACCAAAAGACCTGAGAGACATATCTTTATGTTCGTTGTTGGTGTGCCCTATTTATATGTTTCGAATTTGATTGTGTGAATGTGTAATACGTAAAAAACAAAATCTCACTTTGCGTTCTCACTCGTAAACCTGTTGAAAAAAATTTACTCTTAGTGTTAGTTGCTAAACCGATTAATTTGAATTAATAAAAATGGTTTGATATAATAATAAAAAATTATCAATCAATAATAAAAGACTATTATTCGAATTATAATAAAAATGATATAATAATAATATGTGTGTTCTCCCATCATTATCAAAAAAACTTTTATAAAATTAAAAAATGACATCTTTGTTCACCTCAATAAATAACTCACCACTAGGTCTGCTACATGTAGAATTAGTAATTCAAATATTACGAAAGATAAAATGTCTTTAATCGTTGGTAGGGTTATGATGAAATTAATGTAATGCGAACAAACAGGGTTTTTTTTATTTTAGTTTTAATATCAATGATAATGTATAATAAAATGTCATTTATTTTTTCCAAAGCTTACAATCATACATAGAACGCACTCCTTTAAATATTCCATCAACTTCTAATACTTATCAATATACGATCGCCACCATTAGGAGTTTTTCATCATCGCCTGGAAGTCAGTTGATAATGAGAGCATCTTTCCTCTAAAAAGAGATGTCAATAATGGTGTCACAGAAAGAGCAAATAGTACAAAAGTTCTTTGTAAATTCAAAAATAGCAAGGGTTCACAAATGTGAAGGCTGCAATAAAAAGAGATTCAGTAATTTCAGCTGTTGGAGAAGTTGGAAATCGTCAAAACAATTTGGTTATCCTGTGTGAGTGTATTGAGTGGATTATCATAAAGAGTAGTAGTGAAACTAGAATGATGCTTGCAGAGAAACAGTTGCCGAAAAAAGACGCAGCTTCGAATCAGTAGTTAACGAGTTCGAGGATAGTTCAAAAATAAATATCAGGCGTGGAGATGAAACAAAGATGTCCTTTTATCTAGTCGGGTGTTTGCATTCTGTTTTGAAAGTTTTATTTTAATCAAAAATAATGTTCTTTTGCAATTTATAAAGACAAATGACAGAACCGAATGTGGAATCATTGAGTTCATTGCTAGATGATAATTATTGTATGTTGTGTTGTAATCTCTTTATCAATTCATGAATATTGAAATCCCGTTATTTTAGGAGATGGTTGGTTCACTAATAATAATATTTTTTTTTAAATTTAGAGGATGATCAACTGTCAATGATGATGAAGAGATTAATAATGAAGAGGATATATATATCATAAATAAAATATTGCAATAAGAGTTAATAAATTTATTAGTATATCTATATCCCAAATAGCACAATAAAGATAATAATATGCTATCTGATACAATAGCAAGGGAGACTGATTATGAATTTCTTATTTAAATAGTCCTAGAATTCCAAACTCGCCTTTTTTTGTTTACTCTTTTTTAACAAGTGTGGATCAAAACATGTTTGCGTTAGAATTTGATTTTGATTGTGTGAAAACGGACGATTTGGTCATAGTGTTAGGGGAGTATTAGTATTAGTATGCAAAGTCGAACAAAGTGTACAAATAGAATTCTATAAGAAAAATTTCTGGCAAAACGAATGATTTTAATATTTTTTTAATTATTCTGCAAATATTATGACACTCAAAGTTTGTCCAGCCAATCTCTAGAGAATTCACTAATATACGATTATTGATTTATTAATTATTAGCAAACCATTCAGAAGATGGTTTTTCGTATCTGAAGGTGTACTTAGTATGAATCTTTAAACTAAGAGAATATTTCGCTGAGTTTTCAATAAAACAATTTAAACAAAATATAAACATGAATTAAAATTTATAATTTTCCTTCGCCTATTTTAAATGATGAAAAATGACTTTTGGAATAACTTTTGACATATTGGTAATACATAATTTGTATACACACACATTAAACCCTCTACTTGTAAGTGCTTTAGACATAAATTTTTGGTTATGCTCATGAACTGGCTACCTTTTTTTAAAGGAAAGATTTAAGAGTAACTTCAAAAAATTATTATTCTTTATTTTACATGTTGAGCTAACATTATTTTTATGTATCAAATATATATAATTTAAACCTCTATCTACTTATGAATTTTAGATAATATCATTTGGTCAAAAATTTGTTGAGTTATCTCAAATAAATACCTACAGTCAAATCATTCTTGAGGCAAGAAAATTTCAAATACTTATTATATGCATACAATAAGAGCTACCACGCAACAAAATTGTCAACAAAAGAAAATAATGAAGAAAAACGTCTAAAGAAATCTTCTATAATTGTGGTATATATAGTAAACCTCCATTGATACTTTAAAACATAATTTTTTTTCATTATTGAATTTTTTTTGGCTGTTTAGTGTTTAAAAATAGAAATCATTGTACTAATAATTTAGATATAATTTTTTCAACCTTTATTTTCATTCCACAAAAAAAGAACAATAATTTTGTAATATGCAATAATCAATAATTTATACATAAATAATTAAAAGAAAATAACCTTTACAAGCAAACAAAAAAAAAATTTTATAAAGTATGTTTTCTGTTATTTTAAGTATATAAATTGTTAATTATTTTTTCGCAAAGAAAAAAAAAAGTTGAATTTTTACATATTTGATATTTTCATCAATGTATTGATTTATTGGCCGATTTTTACCTGAATCCTTTTTATTGAAAAAAATACGGACCAAATCGGACCAAATTTGATTGGTATCAATCATCAATCGAATATTCGACCGTGGTCGAATGACAGATCCAGTGATTTGTTGACTGCAGTTTGCAGATCTATAGAATTTGTTTTTTAAAATAAGTGTTTCAACAAATACAAAAAGTGTATTAAGTACTGGTTCAAGTGTTTCAAGATTAGAAAATATTTCTAATTCGGTGATATGGGATTTGCAATCTATTACTCCAAAATTGAAACGAAAAGCTGATATCCAAACAAAATATGCAAAGCAACTATCTAAAGAAGGTATAGATACTTTTTGTCAATTGCTTCTTCATGCAACAATTTCATGTGGATGGTCTTTTAATTGGGTAGAGGATCAGAAAGTAATTGATTTATAAATCTTGGAATTACTTTACCAAGTAAATCACTATAACTATTTAATGTTGTAAGGCAAGATGAAATTCTGAAATTGGTTTGATGACTGGAAAAATATTGTTAAACAATAGCTTCTGATGGAAGAAGTTTGGTTTGGGGTGGCAACAATATTTCAACTGAAAGATAAAGAGAAATTGGGTGCGATGAATACATTGAAACTTGGTTAGATGAAGTTAGAAAAATTATATAAAAATAAATACAGTGATCACTGATTCTGCTAGTGGTTTTATTGCAGCAAGATATTGTCATTTTCAAAAAATTATATAATTAATGTTAAATGTTGCATGTGAAACTCAAATTTCCCTTTTATGAATTTGAAACGCAACATTTACATTTATTTTTATTTTTATTTTTATTTCATTCTTTTATTTTCATTTTTTTTAATTGTTGGATTTATTATTTAAAGTTTTGCATTTTAATACAATAAATACATATGTAAACTCGATAAGTCGGTCATGTCGGGGCAGACTCCTGTGACCGACTTATTGAGAGAATCGACTTATCAAATTTCACGTGATTTTTAATTTATTAAAATAAAAAATGTTAACATTGAAAATATATAATATATATAATAATAAACAT